ATAAGTTAAAACCTGTAATAGTTAAAAAGATATTACACATAATTTATTTTCAAAATTGTAATAATTCATTTTTAACAGAAAATCTTTTTAGCTCGGCTAAAAATGTCTCATTTGAAATAGAAAAAGTAAAATAGGAAAAGAAATAGTTTAAATTTTGAAGGAATTAAGTTCGGTTTTGATGTGTGGTAATGTTTGTAGATGGTAAATTTTTGGGGCAGTTTGATTCAGAAAGTGTTTTATTCATTTTATTAAATGTTATTTACCGTTAAACAATGTTTAAATAATCACAATGACGTCAGCGTAAATAAAGTGAAAAATCTTTGTTTTATTCTATCAAAAGGTACTCACCTGTTGCTTCCCAATTAACTAAAACTACTAAGGAAATTCCGGCAATTAAAAGAGGAAAAACGAAATTGGCGAATATAAGAGGAAAGAAGAAAAGCGGCATGCAACATCTCTTTCTCACCATAATTTACGGGGCTCAACTGTGATTCTTCACCGTGTTGTTCCTGGTTTAGGACAGCACGCAATCACGAAAACTCTACAAAATGCCATTTTGTAAAAATAACAAATAATTAATTACCTCTGAAGTACAGAAAACGCCAGACATTTAATCAAGTAAAAATTGTGTAACAATAAAAACAAAATTGTATTATATATAATTTATTTGTATAATATTATAAATATGTGTGCTATTCTTGACAATATTAGAATAATGTTTTATGTTTTTACCATCTCGTGACCATCTTGCAATATTTTTAACATTAGCTAAATATAATAGATACAAATATAATATTTTTAATATACAATATTTTCATTTTTTTACAGCAATATCTATTTTCTTTGATTTTCATATATTTCAATTTAGAAACAAAGTCCTAGCTGTAACGTTTTAGGAGTATCTTCAATTTTCTTTTTTTAATTTACAATTTCGTTCTTTTTATGACGTTTTTGTAATTCCTATACATTAAGTGAATAACAATGCTTTCTTTGTGTCTGCACTTTGCCATAAAAAAATCATATACCCGTTGAGACAAAATTCTAAATACTCCTCATCCTTGATTTATATAATCTATAATAGAATATATGTTAACGCATTAACAACGTATCCGCATTACAAAATATTGAAATATTTTCTTGCACAATGATAATATATCTAATCAGCATCTATATCTTGGTCGCCGGTTTTTTTTATTTTCAACCGAAAGGGCACCTTTATATCCTATTTATTAAACATTCACAATAACGAAGAATATTAAATTTATCTATACATATACTCTTACAAAACAAAAAGACATCAACAACAAAAACAATCAAGTTTTTCTTACATATACATATTATATGTTTATATAAAATAATCCATATTTACACTAAATCTAACTGTATTCCAGCTTTATATATTGTTATATAAAAATTATGAAATATGATTTGACATGATTATCTAGACATAAAAGTTTCTTTACCCATTCTTACGAGGGTATACTATTTTGTTTTAAAGCCACACACCAATGTCTGAACGTAACGTTTAGAAATAAAACGGAAAACGAAATAATAAAACATTAATTGTGCTACATCAAAAAGACGTTGTTGAGAAGATTCAACTTAAAAAAAATATTGTAAGTTACGCAATAAATTTACGCTAGGCCATAAATTAATTTGATACAAAATATGTCGACTTCTTTGTTATCTGTTTTTTTAAAAAAATCAAGGGCAATTTGAAAGAACAGAAAACTCTCTTTCGTCTAACGTGATCTACAGCCGGTCCAATACATACACTGGATTCTGGCTTCTGGTCAGGTAGAAAAAGAAGTAGAATCTGTGATCACTTGGCAAGCTTTCGGCCTTTATAAGACCATCATCAGCGCAGCATCCTATTTCTCATATTAACATTACGGAATGACGAAAAAACTCCGACTTCGACTTGCATCCCCAAAATGCAGGTCCAGTCGATAAAAATGGCATAACGTTTTCTTAATCGACTGGACCTGCATTTTTGGGAGACCACTATCCTTGAAAAAAAAAAAACTGAAAAATACGTCGTAATTTTAACTTAACCAACCTCTTGTACTTCGAAACCTCGTAGTCGATGTCGTCGGAGTTTTTCGACATTCTGTAATGCTAATATGAGAAATAGGATGCTGCACTGATGATGGTCTTATAATGGGCGAAAGCACACGCAGAGTTTACTTTTTTTTCTACCTGACCAGAAACCAGATCCCAAACACATTAATCGTCGTGGTCAATTTCTTCATCAACATACCGTGATATGTATACCGAATCTCTATATGGAATCAATTCCAATATAGAATGTTTGAAACCACAAGTTTCAGAACTTTAAGTGTATGTTATATAGATATTTATTATTCTTGCAAAATATTAAAGAAAAGTGCTGGTGTAAGTGAAATACCTCTCGAAATATTGAAGGAGGACATGAATATTTTCTTTGCTTTCAAAAGGTGTTATCAGTTAAATCGAGATAATTTATTTTTGTGCCTAACCTATGAAATTTTTTCGGAAAAATTAGAAATAATTTTTATATAACTGGAAATAACTGCTAGAATAGAATAATTTTTAAGAATTTACACTAAGTTTGTAGAGATATTTAATGGGAGTGTTTGGGAAATTCGTTTTTGTAAAAAGAAATGTTTTAATTATTCATTAGGGGACCGCGGTAGCCGAGTGGTTAGCATGAGAGACTCTCACGCCGCGGTCGTGGGTTCGATTCCCACCGTCGCCTCTCGCCCTTTTTTCCCGATAACCCCCAATTGGAACAACATATATAAGAATTCGTCATGGCAAAGATCATAAGGCAAAAAAAAAAAAAATTCATTATAAAGAAAGAAATTAATCTTGGGAAAGCAAATTCTGTTAGTTCATTGCAATAAAACTGCTTATATTTTAAGAAGGTTTCGTGATAAAAGTGTGGTTTTTATGAGCTATTAAAATTATAAAATTAGATCTGCAGTTTTTTGAGGGGTAACAATTCGTCCGCATCTTCAAGGGACTTTGCCTAAAGGTTTTATTTGTTAAGGATGAATAGTTAATCAATTAAATATTTGAATCAGCTTACAGGCTTTAGAAACAATAGCAAGCTCTTTACACAAAAAGTCTCCGTTATACTTGAATCATCCCAACAACGTAAATAATATCGGTGCCTGCCCGTGTAGTTTGCAAATCGTAACAAATATTGTACAACAATAGTAGAATAGAGGCCCCTGCCCGTTATGTGACCACAAAGAGCAAATTTATTGTTTGCACAGCAAACTTGAAAAATTTACATTTCAAATGGCGTTCAAAAATATTTCACACGGAAGCATATTTAGAAGGTTGGTCCGGTGGGCGAACTCTCGTTCAAAACCAGTAGAACCACGGAAGATAGTGTGCGTCTTATGCGGTCCTTTTTATAAACCTTTATTACAACGGCCAAAGCCGGCGTTTTTCTTTACAAACATAAAACGATTAACAAATATATTTAAAGCAGTGATATTTACAATAGTTCTCTTGCTTGATGCAAATAACAGAAACTTCTTAAGGAGTTCAAATCCCTTACACACATTATAACAACGCTTAGCAAAGATATCACAAATAAATGGGAACATTCAAGGTTTATGTCGAAATAGTAATAAACTTTATCGAACAATTATTTTTAAATATTTTTGTTAAAAAAATATTTATGTTGTTTGGTGTTTGCCGCATGAATATTAATTAGCGCTAATCACTAAAAAAATGCACATAAAGAAAATCTTAATTCTCTATATAAATATATATGCTTATGTTTATATTCTGATATATTATTGTAGTTTCACTTACATTCTATCATTCTATTCATCATAAACCTAAATATAATTATTTTTTGTTTATTTTATGTACATTGTGGTGTCTTTAAATAGCGTCATAACAGTTTGACGCTGTCCCTTAAATTGGTCACTTTCTTTAGAATCGTTAGAGTCGGAAAATCTTCGTTTCTCAATCAATTCAAAAACCTTTCTTTATGTTTAATCATGTTAAATAAATCAAACTGTGCTTGTAGTTTAAAATTTGTATGTAAAGTGAAAATAAAAACATAAAAATTCCTGCAATACGTTAGTGAATTAAAATGACCTAACCAAACTTTCCGAATGGATGTTATTTTCTTTTCTTTTGTTTAGAATTTCATTCAAGACATAAATCACTATCTGCATAGGCCAGTATTAGATATTCGTCTTAAATTGTCTATCACAAATGTAAACGCATAAAAACAAAAATGTAATATAAGCATAACTAATAATACCAACATGAATCAATTCATTTTATGCAAACAAATTTCTTGACGAACATTTAATTATTTAATTTGTGTAGAAGGTAAAAAATTAGGCCATTATATTGCGAATGCTTGTAAAATTAGTTTATATTAAAATAACTAATGACATTTTATCAATGGAGTATGTAAAAAAATTGATAATTTATATTTTGATAATGGAAAACGTATAAAAAAATCTTCATTGTATGATTAAACGTTAAACATGGTTTTTCAAACCTTTTTTAATAAACGAAAAAATTGGTCAAGCGTACCACGAAAGTTTTTTAGTAAACGAAAAAATTTTGATCCACGCATTTCTAATATAAAACTAAATTACAATTAATTAAGGTTTTTAGTTGAGATGAAAAAAAGTTAATGGCACGAGCGTGATTCGAACCCACGATCTTCGGCTAGATACGCCGCTGCTCTACCTCTTGAGCTATCATGACCTCGATCCACTCGGACATCAACTTCCTATCTAAACCCCACCTTATGAGTCTTCCCTCCTTTTTGCCATTTTTCAATGCCATTTTTGTCGTCGAGAATCCAATCCGATTACACGACATTTGAAAGCTCAAGTGGTAGAGCAGCGGCGTATCTAGCCGAAGATCGTGGGTTCGAATCACGCTCGTGCCATTAACTTTTTTTCATCTCAACTAAAAACCTTAATTAATTGTAATGTATTAATTGGTCAAGCGGACCACGAAATTAGTGAATATAAAACTAAAGTTACAAATTTTGACGATATTTGTATTAAATGAATATGATAAAATATGGTATAGCATGCATAAATATTTATGAGCATTACAGTTTAAAAATGTTTGAACTTTTTGAAAGAACGTTAAAAAGAAATGATTAGATGTTCTTAACACAAGAAAAGCTATCAAACACACAACTAAAAATATATGTTTAAAATTCATTAATTAATTAATTTAAGGTACGAAAGCAAAAGAATAATGGAGAAAATAACGTGTTAGAAAAAAATGTATAAAACGCGTAAAATCTAGACAATTATGCAATTTACTTATGATCAATCCCATTATTTAAAATAAATGACCGTTTCATAAAAGTGCCAAAAATCAGTAGTTTTGTTAAAAATATATCGTGAAACCATTAAATCAATTTTTCAGTATTAACAGTTTCCAAAACAAGGTGTATTGCGAATTCCCAGGAGGTTAAAGTTTTACATCTATTTAGAGCGCCTTTGTCGACGGTCTATCAAAAGGCGAGTGTCAAAAGATTTTTGCCGTGACTTACTTCCCCCCAGTCTCTAAAACTTTCCGAGTTAAAAACTTTAGATGAACGCGTGCTTTGAATACGTTCAGTTTAACGACGAAATGTAAAAAGACAGCTTTCATAGTGTTTTAATTACTTCCTGTAGTCGTGAAAAGGCCCGGAATGGCGTCGGGGATCGACAACCACCCTCAGGCAAGCGGTCAGCGATGTGACCTTTGCGAAGGTCACACGGGCACCCCGGAGCGATATATAAACGAGCCCGGGGTGTGATGGTTATACTACTTACACGAGATCATCATGTTGCATATGCATAACTGACACATTAGAAGGACGATGAACAGGATTATGACGACACCGATGATTGAATACAAGATCGCGAGGTGAATCAGTGAAAAGATGTAAAGCGTCTTGTGACACCATCGGTTCGGCTCGAACAGAGTCGGCTCGAACTCTGGCCAGTATATACTCAAGATCCAGACGTTGCCCAAGACGAACCAGACGACGAGAAAGGACGAGAGAAGGATGTCGGCTACTCGGCTGGGCGTAGACAGAGGATCCTGCGGCGTGGAATTGCGCTCTCGTCTCCTTTCGAACCTCAAAGATCTGATTTGGCGCCAAACCAGCCAGACCATTTTGAGCGTACCAAATGTACCGCCGACTATCATGTAAACTGGTATGTGTTGCTCCCTCGGGCAGTCCCTCACGAACTGGATTCCTGAAAACAAATCGTACAACAATTCAAATGTTCTTTTAATTTGAGGGGAAATGATAAACCAGTAGTTCGATCAGTCTGAATTGTCCCATGCAGGTTTAGTTTGTCAAATCAGTGTTATTTTTGGTGTAAGTCTGCGTGTTGTCTAAATAAAACGTACTACTGCTATAAAGACGCTATTGAGGTGGCAAACTAGCTAAATACCTCAACATTTTATGAGATTTCCAACGGTCTATTCGAAAACCCGATTATTTTGATTTTTGATGAGCAATTTATTTGAAAACCGGGACGTATTCTGGGAATTAAAAGCATGGCCCAAGAATTGATCGGGGTGTACATTAATAATTAGTAAATACATTCTGAAATAATTGCCTACCAAACTAATAATAATAATGGAAGGTTTAGAATAGACCGTTTAGCTGGCTTGACGATGAAAAAATTTAATATAAGGGAGCTACGTTTTAAAGAAGTTGATCCAAAATTACCATTTCGCAATTTTCATGATGTTTGTGTAATTATTTGACAAGTAGATCATCAATTTTTAGGATGTGAATTAGCAAGTGGGCTAATTTAAAAGGAAATTCTGTTCTAAATGTAAAAATCGGTTCAAAAGTTGGGAGAGGTTTTACGTAAAGAAACCTATTTTTCTTAAATGAACACCCAAAAAAATTTTAACATTTAAAGTGGTTCAGATAAAACCAGGAGGTATACGACATTCTACTCCACTTTAATTGTACTGCCACAGTCTTTTTAACACGATGAGATGACCAGCATGTAAAAACCACAACAAAGGGTCATCCTCACCTCGTTAAGGATAGGCCTTTCCAGGTTGACACACGGACTTTTGGATCAAAGCCCGCGTATGTGTCCGGCATGTAGGAAAAGGTCGATCGATGTGTCCCATCTGTTTAAGGGGTGCAATTCCTTGGCTCCATATATATATCGCTTAAGAATGCCACCCGAGATAAAAATTGTGTAAGGGCAAAGCAACGAATCTCTGGGTCTCCTGTTCCGTTTCTTGGGTGAACAGTGTGTTTTATTAGTGTGTGTACGTACTTAATGTACTGTAACCGATGGCGGAATATGGCGTACTCCATCCATCCTGAATTAGGTTAGTGTGATGGAGGAATAGCGCCTACTTCACAGCCCTACCTGAGTAAATGGCATGTAAATAGGAAATGATGTCATTTAATAATGAGTGAGAGGGTGAATGAGTTTGGATTAAAGAAATCCACGCTTTGAATTGACGTAGCTCTTTTCAGCAACCGGACCCCAACCTACGTGGCTAGACGTAGATCGACTTCTGACCCTAGACTGCCAACACTTGAGGTAATTCTCCACGTCTGCCGGTAATTTACTCGAAATCACAAAAACTGGAACTATCAGTGGACGGCGAGATTCAACTCTGCACATGTGTGCACTTATGTACATAAATGTGCGCGTTTGAGCTTATTTTTAAACAAATCCAAATTCTAATTAACACTTCAAAAACAAAACAAAGTTCAACAAAATAACAGCGATGGCAGTAGTTATAAATGTATATGTGAGGTGATTAGTGACCGTTAATCGATAATTATTCAGATATCGTGAGATGCGGTCTGGTGTGATGTAGGTTTCAGAAAAAAAATTTCTTTATCTTTATTAAACACATTTCTCTCGTCCGATAACTTCAAAATAGCTTTCAATAATTAAAAAAAAATTCAAACACTTTTTTCCAAAATTAAAGATCCCACACCAATAACAAATAAATCTGACGTAATTTACAAGATCAACTGTTTAAACTGTCCGGCAACTTACATCGGTCTTACATCCCAATATCTCGATAAGAGAGTAAAGCAGCATATCTATGATTGCAAAAAACCCAAGTAAATCCTACAGCCCTCGCTACCCACCATCTTGAACACCAACACAATTTTGACTTGAAAAATCCAACAGTATTACACACAGAACAAAACAAACATAAACGTAATTTCTTAGAAATGGTTTATATCAACAGAGATAAACACAGCATCAATTACAGAACAGATACATGTAAACTCAGTCGCAGCTACGCCAATATCATTAATCAAATTCAATACAGATAACATACCTATATCATCACATTACATTCCACACATCAAATATTTTTCACATATGTGTGGTGATTAGTGACTAATCGGTATTTATTTAGAAATCGTGAGATGCGGTCTGGTGTGGGCTCAGGGAGGTTTGTAAATCCCAGGCCCTGAAGATGATCTCAATAAAGATCGAAACGTTGGCACGATAAAGAAAATGTTTTTTTGAAACCTACATCACACCAGACCGCATCTCACGATTTCTAAATAAATAAATGCATATGGTTGATGCTCCCATAGCACTTGTTACCATACTACCTAATTGCCAGTTTCAACTCTCGAATTTCCCAATTTTTGTTGTACTTTTGGAATAATATATAAAATGTTTCAATTTTTTATCACAACATTGATGCAGGCAACTATCGTTCAAAATTGAAGCATAATATTATTAATAATTTAAGAAGCAAACATGAGAATACTGGTAAAACAACATTTATATTTCTATTTATGCGTAAAGGCATTTTTTAACTTGAGTAATAAATATCCCTTTTCAATACTGATTGAGTCCATATTAAAAAATATCTTTCAATTAATTAAGGTTTCTAGTGGAGATAAAAACTAATTGAAAGATATTAATAACTAATTGATAATTAATTGAAAGATATTAATTGGTCAAGCGGACCACGAAAACTAGTGAATTTAATAAGTTTAAATGAAGTATACCTTCACTAAAGCTCTACATGGCCGAGATTGTCGCCGAGAATCAAATAGATTACACGACATTTGAAAAATGGCAAAAAGGAGGGAAAATTCAAAAAGCTGGGGTTGAGATGGGAACTTAGTGTCCGAGTGGATCGAGCAGCGTATCTAGCCGAAGATCGTGGGTTCGAATCCCGCTCGTGACACTGACTTTTTTATCTCAACTAGAAACCTTAATTAATTGAAAGATATTAATTGGTCAAGCGGACCACGAAAACTAGTGAATTAAAAAATATATATTTAAGTTTACAACTTGGCCTGCCGAACCTGATTTGGATTACGATTTTTTACGGTTTACGATGGCCCTTTCTAAAGAAATTTTCCGACCCCTGGAATCGATCATAGTACATGGTCAGGGTTATAAGCAGGGTGAGTCTACATTTTGATTTAAATTGGCGTAAATTTCGCCGGTCTCAAACGCAAAAAACGTAGAACCGAAGACTGTTACAAGATTGTTTTATTCGGGTTGATCAAAGCTATTTAGCTTTTTTTTAACTTCATACATTCTGACGTGCTCTTGTCGACAAAGGTCAGAGTCAATATCCCGCCCTTCTGTAACAAGATCAAAGCGCTAAACACCTTCCTAGTCCCATGAAAAGCAAAACATGAGATTTTTTCCAGACCAATAGTTGAATAAAGGATATTTCAATGTAAACAATGGCGTAAAATGTTTAATCAAAAGGGGCCCAATAATGTTATGTTCACAAAGGCCTTGAATTCATCATTTCACTTAGGGACTTTTAAATAAAAACCCAGAATCGATATTCCACAGTCTGACTGTAGTCAGTCCAACGTACTTTTAACGTTTAGGATTTAATTTTTTTTTAGAAATTCAAAATGCAAGCAGACCCCTTGATTGTTCTGTTTCCTCTCCATGAGGGCGAAAGTTTAAATAAAAACTGTTATTACCACTATAATTTTAAATTACAAATAATATAATAAATTATTTATATAATTTTTTCAGTGTATTATATTGTTCGTCTTAGATTTTTTTTTAGATTCAAATTAGTAGATTTTACATAAAAATAGACAAAAATATTATTTTAAAAGGCTAACAGAAGCAAACGGGTGTATGTGTCTCAAATTGAGTATGCTTATATGACTTATAGTATAAAATATATATTAGTTAAATAGCAATAAAGCACACAATACATTCAAAAAGACGCACTTCCTTCTCATTCATCTATTTACTGATAATAACCGTAAACAACAAATTTTATTTGATACATAAGGAAAATTGTGTCATGATGTTATTCAACGGGAGGGGGTGGGTCCAAGCAGTAAATAATAAAGATAAAATTTCATCTGCCGGAGTTGAATCGTAAAAGGGGAGACGGTGGAAAAAACCGCTTTCTAAACTCATCGCGTCTGATAAATCTCCCTTCCTTATCAGAATAAGATGAAGTCCAAGGACGAAAACGGCAGATCGATACACAAATTGCAGATAAGGAAACCGTAGTTGGATGTTATGAAGTTGAAGAGATTTTCGTGTATGATTTGACTGGTCTATTGCTGTGATCCAAGAACCTTTCAGCCTTAATGCTTCGTTCTGTCAATGTCTTCAGTTTTATTTTTAACATTTTGGAACCTTATTTTTGCATGTATGTTGAGCTTACCACTTGCGCAGTTCATCGGCAATTCGAAGTTTTTCTAATTTACAATAAATTACCGGCAGGCTTCGAGAACCACACACATCAGGTGTAGGTAGTCTTAGGCCATCCCTAGGATTTATCCGCCCCACCAAGGTTGAGCTTTGGTGATGTGAACAATTAGGTCATTTCAGCCCCTAACCAAATATAAATCCAAACGGTCATTCACACTCTCAGTCACTCTTAAATGCATTTTTTCTTTACTCAGGTAGGGTCGTGAAGTCCTTATAATCCACCACCCTTGTCACCTATTACATAACTAACCTAATCAAGGGTTGATAAGATACTCAACAGACCATCATTAATCCTCTCACACATTCACATTAACAATCATTCACACTCAACACACGCGAGGGATGGAAAATTATCAGTATTATATATAATAAGACGACCCGGTTTTATCCAAAAAATCTGACCAGGAGACCCAGATACTCGCTGCCGAGGTAGTGGCATTCCTACACGCTCTCTATATGGAGCCAGTCAATTGCACCATACAACTAGTGGGAGTTCATTTTTTATTCTTTCCTATCTCTACAAGCCGGACACATATGCGGACTTTGGCTTAAAATTAAGCGAGGGAGGTCCGAAACATTCGATCGTACCAGTGAAATCGAAACTAAAGCAAATACAAACAAAGCAATAATAATATTGATAAATTGTAGTAAATTATATTTTTGACGGTAGTTAGTGTGTGAACGGCTGAACATTTCGACCACTTTAATGGCTTGGTCCGAAAATCAATCATGTAATATCAAATAATTAATTTTTGTATTTATCTTTTGTGTAATGCACGTAGAAAGTGATAAAACTGTGTTGAAATGCTTTTTTTAACAGATCGATTTGTTGTAGATTTTAACCGGTTAAATTTTGTCAAAAAAATAATATATTGTGTAAACAATTTTTTCCTAATAATTGTACAAATGTAAAAAATTATTATTTCATTGTACTATACAAACTAATAATAATTAATTAGCGAGGAGATAAAGTGTAATTCCTTCCTCGAAATTTTGTCGTGGGTGGAGAAGACTTACCCATTATGAACATGATCAGAGGCAATGCTGTGAGACAAATTAACACCACAGAGACGACAACTGAAACAAAGAACAAATAAACAGTTAAAACTTGAGATTATGTGAACAGAGAAATAATTTGCAAAAGTGCAACAAATATTTAAAACTTGATAATTAGTCGTTTTAGGGTTTTAAGATCGTAGAAGTGGCGCTGGAGGCAGGAACGGTTACATCACCTATGTAAGATCCTGATTTCGAACGAAAAATAACTGATAAAAATATTACAAATTAAACACTGGCTTCCCGGGGGTTTAGAAGGCCTTTGGGTTGCGAACCACCGTTAAAAAAAGGCAAAATGTATATTGAAAATCTATGATGACTTACGTTTCTTAACCAGGTGTGTACGGTATATTTGGTACAGTATATACAGGGTGACTGGCGATAAATGTCGAAAATTTCCGAAAGGGTTTCTACTCACAATATGAAACATCAACTTTTTAAATTTTTTATAAACCCCTGTCTAAATCTCAACAGTAAAGAAGTAATTTCAGTTTTTTTTTTTAATTTTTCGACTTAGGTCCACTAAACTGCTTATAAAGTTCAGAATTGAACCACTTTTTCGTGCATAATGTTTTCATCATATAAATAAGTTTCCTTTCAGCAAATTTAACGTTCTTTCAGGTGGCACAAACCAGATTTTTCTAATTCTGAAATTTAAAAGCAATTTAGTGAACCTAAGTTGAAACATGAAAAAAAAACCATACCTGAAATTACTTTTTTTACCGTTGAGATTTGGACCCTGTATAGTACATATAGTATAGTATGTATAATACTATATTTTAACATTTCATGCACATACAAAATGATTCACAGAACCGTGGCTTCAAAGTTGGTTACCATATAAAAAACATATGTGTAAATATTGAATATTCAGAATTTTGATGTCTGGAAGTGGCAAGCTAGTGAAAAGAGTAGTTAATATATATTTTACAAACAGTAGAATTAAACGATTATACCAAAAAATGTTTTTTGAGAATTCGGAATCACTAATCCGAAGGCCAGTGGCTTGAATCCAACCGTGCAAATATTTTCGCTTCACCTTTTTTCCATTTTTGTTCCTAATATCTCATTTACTATAAAGCGTATAAATAAAGATTCAATAATGTTAACTAATATACTGCCCCACCTATTAGAAGGGTGCAATTTCATGGCCCCCATATAAAGAGCGCGTAGGAATGCCACCCGATAAGAGAATTGCGATTGAACAGAGCAGCGAGTATTTGGGTTCTCTGTTCCGATTCTTGGAAGAAACAGGGTTGTTCTGTGGTATTTAGAACTGATAGTTTTGTGTACGTAGCGAGTTTTTAGAGCGAATGTATTTATTAGCGTGAATGTGAACTGTGAGAGGGCCGATTGTGGAATACTGAGTACCCCATCGATCCTCAATTAAATTAGTTATATAATAGGTAAAGTAATCAAAAAATACAGATGATTATGGAGTATTTCACCCTACTGAGTGCAAATGAAATGGCCACGGAGAGCTTTAGTGTAAGTATACTTCAGGTGACTTAAAGGAGGGAAAATTCAAAAGGTGGGGGTTGAGATGGGAAGTTAATGTCCGAGTGGATCGAGGTCACGATAGCTCAAGTGGTAGAGCAGCGGCGTATCTAGCCGAAGATCGTGGGTTCGGATCCCGCTCGTGACACTGACTTTTTTATCTCAACTAAAACCCTTAATTAATTGAAAGATATTAATTCGTCAAGCGGACCACGAAAACTAGTGAATTTAATTAGCAAACACGCTTACATTTGTCCCCGAAAGATTATATTTTTAGTACAAAAACTACTTACAAAATAATTCAAAACCAGCTTACTTAAGGACGTTTTTGATCAGCAGTAGTGCGTATTTGATGATCTGATTTTAATAATTTTAATATAGTACAAATTTAAAATTTGAAATTGTAGCGTTATTTAGGTATTTAAATATTTTTGAGATAAAGCAATTTATTTGTACTTCACCGAACTCAGCAAACTAGATTACATTTGTCCTCAAATGATTACTTTTTGGTTATAAAACATGGCTTTATAAAAATAGAAAGTAAATCGAAACCAAGTTATGAAAATTTTAGATCAGCAGATTGATTTGATTTGACGCATTTTAGTATCTGTAGTTATAAAAGAGAAAACTACAGAAATCACACAACAGACTAGCAAAGCAGCTTCATTTTAAATAACCAGGCTTATTTCTTCTAGGGTACATTGCAATTTTTTTAAAACTTAAAAAAAATATAGTTAATAATTAAAAAGGAGTATGTAATAAATTTTCAGACAAATATTCTTTTAAACATCATAAATAAAAACTTTCCAAAAAATAGAAAGTTATTAATTCGCAAGGAATCGGCCTTAGATACATTTCATGTGTTTATTAATCACTTTTTGAAAGTGGGTATTAGTCCAAGGTCGTTGGTTCGAATCCCGCACGTGACACTGACTTTTTTATTTCAACTAAAAACCTTAATTAATTAGTAATTAATTAGTAATTTAATTGCAAAATCGTTTTCAAAATGTAGTACCATTTTTTGCTATTCCAATACATAGTAACTATATAATGACTAATATTACTAAATTAATATCAATTAAACCGAAAATGAATCAAGCGTTCTATATATTTTTTAAGTTTCACTGGGGCTCATTTGACGTAAAAAATAAAAATCTTCCTTAAAAAATTATAAGCAGGCAAAATACATGAATTTCGTTATTTTCTAGACAGTCTGTTTTTCACTCCGGGCATATTTATGTGCAATTAATCTAAAATTTGGAACAATTCTTTATAACTGAACTTTTATACTGGTTTTGCTGATTGCTAAGTTCACTATATTACATGTACTGTCTTTTAAAGAAAATTTCATTTTTTGTCGTTTGATTTGAACTTTGACATTTTTTATATCAGTAAAAACCTTTGAATTGTGATTCTTGTATATTTTAAAATATGTATTGTGAAATGCAAATTTCAGGATGCAATTATTCTAGTACAAGTAGTCATTGCAGAATTCCACATTATTTGACATGATTGTAGTTTGGTCGAAATTCCAGAGATGAAGGGACTAACGGCGAGATGGAACTGTTGATGAGAATTGACCAAACTAGATAATTTCACAATTATCGCGTTATTAGTCTATACTGGTTGGTCGTGGTTGTCTGCATACAATCCATATGTATATTAATGTTTCCCGTTATTTTAGAAATTTAAAGTAATTCTATTTAAATATTTCATTCTTGACATTAGTAGAGAAAAAAACAGGTAGGGTGGTAAAAAAGAGGCTACGATTTATAAAAATTAACTTAAACTTTTATCAATTTGTCAGAAATGGATCGTTTCGAACAGTCGGCTTTAATAGCCGCATCTCCCTCAGGCGGTAATTAATTGCAGTTACTCCGTTGACAAGAGATTAATAGAGTAATCCATTCAGGTCCCGTGTGCTCATCAAAGAAGCCTCCTGCTTTGCCCAGAGATGAAATTTCGGACGGACAAAACCGGTATCTCCGGCACGTGTCCAGTTGAATTCCAGGAGGGCGGAAACCATGGTTCATATTGTCTTATAAGTACTCGTTATTACGACCATACCATTATTGCGGAGTAATTCGTTTGGTCTTGTAAAATGTGCCCTGCATAAAATCCTATGTTACATGACCTTTATGCCATTAAATCATGTAAGCAGGCATTGAATATTCATGTTTTTCAACCGTTTTAGTAAGAGGTTAAATAAGTACATGGAAAATATTCCCTTACGTTCCGTAGCCATTCCAATAAGGCTTAAGGAAAACGAAATTTAATATCTGCCAATAAAAAAAAAAAAAAACGCTGTAAAATAATATAATAAGTATTTTTAATTTGGTACTAGTGATTATTGCACAATTTAAACAAAATTTATTGTAAGTAAATTAATAAATATAATGCTTTACATTTGAACTTTCCGATCACTTGAATATTCAAGCTACTTTACTTTTGTTAATATAAAGAATACATTGAATCTACAACCTAAAACATAAATTATAATAAAATTGATTAAGGTTTTTAGTTGAGATAAAAAAAATAAGTGTCACGAGTGGGATTCGAACCCACGACCTTCGGCTAGATACGCAACTGCTCTACCACTTGAGCTATCGTGACCTCGATCCACTCGAACACTAGCTTTCCAACTTAACCCCACCTTTTGAATTTTCCCTCCTTTTGCCATTTTTCAAGGTCAAGCGGACCACGAAAACTAAAAGTTCTCCGTGGCCATTTCATTTGTCGCCGAGAATCAAATAGATTACACGACATTTGAAATTTTGAAAATTAGTGTCCGAGTGGATTGAGGTCACGATCGCCCACGTGGTAGAGCACCGCAGTATCTAGTCGAACGTCATGGGTTCGAATCCCATTCGTGACACTGACTTTTTTATCTCAACTAAACACCTTAATTAATTGAAATATATTAATTCAAGCGGACCACTAAAACTAGTGAATTATTAAATTATAATTACAATTTAGCAAAAAAAATAATACGTTAAAATTGAAAGAAAAACGACGTAACTAATTACTTTCGTTGTTTTTCTTACATTGTTGAATATGTGATGACATTCTGAGAAATGCAAGCTTTTTCATTCACGTAGTGCGTCGTCATATTACGGAAGCAAACGTAAATGTCTTAAAGTCAATATACAGAACGAAGAAAGATTATAAGCGACGAAATCAAGTGATCAAACCGGTGCAAACATTACATCAAGTCCTCTAAATTCTAAGTCCGCTTAAACTTTGCAAATTGGCTGAAAACAACCGATTAGAGCCAGGTGATCGATTCACATCGGTGCGGAACAGCCCGGGCGACAATTTCATACAAACCAGTGCCAAAACTGGAAAAATTAAAACCAGGTTTTTTTAAAATATTTCCTTGTATGGATTATCAAACCAGGGTTTTTTTTTTATGATGGACTAAGTTTCATTTGATTTACCGCTTCATTGAATTTCATAATCTACCTCATACACATTTTCGTCAATATTCATTCCCAAAGGGGTTAACTTCTTTCAAAAATTATTTT